TTTTTTTTTTTTTCATATTGAAAATATTTTATACAACTCGGATATTGATGTTTAAAAGTAATTAATAACGTTTGAAATATTAAAATCAAGAAAACATTTTTTAAGCTTCTTACGAAAGTTAATAATTAATAACATAGAATTTCAAATTTCAATTTTTATTGGTCTCTTTTTATTCAAATAATTATATATATATTTATTATATTATATTTCACATAATTTTTATTATAATTCTAATTTTTTAACATACTAAATAATAAAATTAAAAAAGACATTAGATTCGACAAACGTGACTGACGAATAAGGCCAAATCATATAATCGCCATAATTACGAGCATACATGGTGATTTACTGCTATCGTCGATTACACAAATTATCGAACTTCGAAGGTGAAATGATCGTCCATTCTCTGAGGAATACTTTGCATAAGAAACAAAAGAAAGGAATAAAAAAAGAAGAAATTCGACGTGATTGGAATTAGATGTCGATCGTGAGTTGCATCACCGCCGAAATTCAGGTGTAGCCATTTTTTTTTATTTTTTATATTTCGTAAGTCGATCGGAGAAAGCTCATTTCGATATCACGAAATCGAGCCTGGAAGATAGCTCGAACGTGAGCAAAATTGATTAGATCGTGGTAAATATCGAAAATTATAAATCAGGAAAAGAGAAAGTGCGAATGTACACAATAAAGTAGAAGAAAGGAATAAGATGGGTTTTCGATCGACGATTTTCGATTACTTTTGTTTGAAATTTTGAAACTTTTTTATTTTTTTTTTTTCATCATCTATCATTCAATTATATTGTAATAATTTATATTAAATTCTCTTTAGAATTTATATTAAATTCTCTTATAAATATTTAATACTTTTCTATAAATTAATTTTTTAAGTTTTTAGATTTAATTTATTTAATTGCTACTTCTTATTGACTTTCTTATTGAAATTTTTATTTAATTAAATTTTTATTTACAACAGATCGAAATCGATAATATATTAAAATCCAATAATGTGGGAAAAAATCAAATTATATCTAATTTTGCTTACTTAAACAATTTTTTTATGTAAAATCTTTTAACGTAAGTTAATACGTATTATTACGTACTATTAATGTATAATAATATATAAAAGTACTATTAATATTTAGTATTATTAATTTACAAAATTTGTACAAAATTTGTTAAAAATTTCTATAACTTCATATCCAATTATTAATTAAAAAAATATATGAAAATTGTCATTAAATTTTATTCATTAATTTAATAAAATTCTCTTATTTTTTTTTTTAATAAAATAAAAATCATTTCTTAGATTTTTTAAAATGTTAATTATCACTAGTTCTAATTTTATTCTACGTTAAATATTTTCAATTGAATCAGTCGAAATCTTATTTAAATTAATAAATAAGTATGATCAAAGATAATAAAAATAAATATTAAGATTATTAATAATAAATTAATAATAATAAATTATTAAAGAATACTTTAAGTATAGCTATTAATAATGATACATAATTATTCTTTTTTACTTACCAAGATTTCCAAATGCAATTCCACAAAATTATCGAACCGATTCTAAATTATAGAAAAAGAAAAAACTATCAAGAATTTTACTAAATTTTGTGTGCAATCTATGGAAGACGATACAATACTGCAATATCTGTACGAAGCAGATTCTTTAAGCTTGGCCCTCTAATACACATGTTCCCCACCATCCCCACTATCGTGAAATTGAAAACCTCGATGGAATATGTTCTTCACGTAGAAAAAAAATTAAACTTAATGAATTCTTCGTTTTTTTTCATTTCAAAATGCATTCAACGTAGAACTTTTCAAATAGAACTCGATATTATTACGTAAAAAATTTTCATATTTTAAATGAAAAACAAACTTAAACTAGCTTATAGAATTTCTTAGCTTATTTTGAATTTCTTAAAAATTTATATAAGTTTTCTAATTATTTCTTTATATTTTCTATTTCTTCATTAAAATTTCCAAAAATTTATTATTTCGAATGATAAAAAAGAAATTTTTAAAATTCTGAACTATAATTAATATTTCTATACTAAAAATTATTTTGTTTTGAACAATGAAAAGAAGGCTTAAACATTTTATGAATAGAAATTGGGATCTTTTTGAAATTTTATTAATGTTTTTCAAATTCTTTTTTAGATTTTATTCAAGAAATTAATATTTCTGAAAATTGATTCTCGCAATATTTACTTAAAAAAAAAACTTCGTTAAAAAATTATAATTTATTGAAAACAAGCTTTACAAATATTTGAACCATCGAGTTCGAGATACAGACGATATCTTTGTTACCGGAAGTTTGCAATGTCTCACTGACAGTTGAGAAAATTGAAAACCTGGCGAATCTTTAAATTTCAACGAAAATGTGAAAGATCAATGAAGTGAAAATATTTGGACGTTTATCGAAATGTTTGATTGTCTCACTATATGTAACACCGTTTGCATAGGTTGCATCTGGGTTGCTTTATTCTCCAAGTGGTAAAAAAAAAAGTTTTTTCGTTATCGTATAAATATATAAATGTGTACATATATATTATGCATATATTATGTATATATATATGTAGATAGATTGATCAATTAACATTACAGTTTTTCAAATTTAATTAGCATCAGAAGAGTCGATTCGAGCGAGTGCTGCAATTGGAAGAAACCAAAACCCGAAGAAAAGATTTCACGCATTGTTCAATGTTGTTTAAGCTCTACAGAGGCTCTTATGCTTCAAACATCTTGCCAATCTAATTACGATGACTTACAGAATTATAAATATCAAGTATTGATGGCAGAAAAGGAAATATTATAAAATTAAAAAGTTAGTTATATGAAATGATAATTAATAATGGAAAATGTTCAAACATTTGAATTATTAGTATATCCTTTGATAATAAAATATAAACAGATGATAATCAGCAGACTGAAATTGCAAAAAAAAAAAAGAAGATTTACAAAATTTGTGAACGAAGAAAAGGAAATATTTTTGCCAGATTAGAAAATGTCGAAAATGTCGAACAACTACAAAATTAATCATCTGTACCTGTACATCTTATTTCATATCTTATTTTACATCCAAAAGATGTAAAATAAAAATAATTGATAGAAAATATTCAAAGTGAATAATCCATTGTCCAATAATATGTCCAATAATCTGTATATCCATTGTTCATATATACTTATAATAATAATGTAAAGAAACGAGAACAAATTAAAAATATATTAAATTTATTTCTCAAAATTTAATTGATATATGTCTGTTCTTCAGGCATTGTTTCGAACTCGGGTAAAGCTTGAACTAACTCGTACTGTGGTTCATTTACTATCTCTACTGTCGGTTTCTTTTCTTCGATAATTGGTTTAGAACTGAGCTCTTTCATGGCCATCTTCGTAGCCAGAATGTCCTCCTCGTTGTCCAAAATTTGGACAATTTTTTGCACGGTTGAATACTCCATCACCACCGCCGATTTCGCTTCTGCTGTTTGCGAGGCCTCTGACATCTTCGCCTTCTCCTCGAGATCCCAATTTCTCATCGTTTCTCTAAAATATATATTTAATTATTACTTTTTCTGAAACGTAATAACACGATTCATAATAGCAAAATTAAGAATCTCTGTATCGTTGGATATCCATAACTCACTTGATACTTGACAAAAATAAATAGATATACATATTTTTTTTAGCATCTTAAATAATCAACAATGCTATAATCTTCAAATTAACATTAAATTTTGATTTTCAAGGCTAATCTAATATTGTAATAATTGAAAATAAAATTATCTCTTATTCTCTACTTCTACTTCAAGAAAAATTGAAACGTGCAATTAAATTATACTTGAATTTAATAATGTTTTTAAAATTAAGAAGAATATAATTGAGATTTATAACTTATGAATTTTTTTTTCCTAATTTTTTTCTAAAATACGAAAATCTTTAGAAATGTTGAAATGTTAAAATTACGAACTCTTAATAAAAAAAATCTAATAAAATTTTCAAAGAAAAGATTTTTAACGATTCCTCACATGGATAATCTTTCATCGCTAGGTATCTTGCTGTCCGATTGAAGCTTGGCGCTCAATCTCGCTTTGTTCTTCGAAGTTCTCCTATTTTTGTCACGGTTCATAGTCACATTCGATTTGCTTCGATGGATAGAACTCGAGGGGTTATTATCCTGCTTGTTTCGATTTTCGACGGGTTTCTTCGACGAGTTCCTCGATTTGGATAAATTGTACTTCATACTCTGTTGCATGGAATCTTTCTTGAAACAGCAACGATGAGTACGATATTGCCACCTGGCGAACACATTAAAAAGAAGTAAGATGGGAATACTGTTTATATACTTCGATTACCACAACGCGCAAGTCGTCACAGTTGAGCTGAACATGAAGAAACAGTTCAACACTGTAAGCACGATCAATGGTTCCAACATGATAAGGAAAACGGAAAACGAAATTCTACGGCGATGATGATGGCTGGAACAAATCGTGAATTTGGAAACGCTTGTCAATCGAAAGACGATGGCAGTGTGGCTGGCCTCGCTCTGAAAATAGGTGACAAACGGTGAACTTCGATATTATCGTGCGGAGGATACTTTAACTCGGCTTCATCATTCAAAATATTACAAAACAAATATTTTTCCATTATTAATAATTTAATTGTAAATTAATTTTTTCTCATCATTCTTTCATCAGAAAATTTAACCTTCAAAGGATCGATATTGCTGATGTTAAATAATAAACAATATCGATTTATAAATAAATTCTCGACTTTTTTAATCAATTTAATCGTTGATTGACAAACATCTATCAAGAATGATAATCTTTCACATTACTACCCTTCATTACACACTTCTACCCTTCTATTTCAAATTTTATATTCAAACTTTGTTTTAAAAATCTTGAATTAGAAGATTTCTATTCCCATAATCATCATCTTTAACATATACAATAATACAATCCAAAACTTAATTTGACAAATCTTCTTCCTGCACCAGATATATATAATAATCAGACTCGCCTCGTTCAAAATCATCTTAGCAAATTAATTCCAAAAGAAGCGGCCCAATTTGTCCCGGATCTCCTCGATCCAGGTAATGGCCCCGGAAGAGGGGGAGACCAAGTGAGAAATCTGGCCAGGAAGCGTGTACAGATTACGGTAGCTGTCGACAGGGGAAGCAAACGAGTGATCCAACCCCGCGGAACCTTTCCTCCGCAGGGGTCCATGGAGCCATCTCTTGTGAATACCGGGCACAATGGCCGCGTTAACCGCAATATAAAAACGGTACCTTCATAACCCCGCGGCGACGCATCTGTGCGACCGAGATATATATAATGATGATATTACGTTTCTACGTGGACGTGTCGATGACGTTTTCGTTGCGGTTCCGGAATGAAATAGACGACGGAGGACCGACCGCCCTTGGAGTGGAATCGCTTCGATTTCGACTACCTGCCATGCGTGGATTTTATTTATGCGCCGCATCCTCAATGCGTATTATTTATTATTATTCTCAATACGTGTCGAGGATTAATGACCACGAGGAGAATAATAGAATTTGAGGTAGAATTTCCTTTTCATAACGAATCAAAAACTGTCGTTATCTCTTGGGATGAATTTGTCATAGGTAAGATGGGGATGGAATTAGAATTAATTATAGAATTAATTATTATTTTTAATGGTTAATCGAAGGAATGAGTACGAGAATGGAATATATTATTGGATATAAGTGCTATTAAAAGAATATCTCGAAGTGAATAAGTGAATTCGCAGCCAATAATGTATTTACCTACACGTGTGCTAATATTATATCAAACATGCATAATGAAATATGTACACTAATGGCTCACTAATACATTCTATTTAAAATTCAATAATACTTTTAAGTACTCATTTAACATTTTCGTTATTGATTTCAATTAAACATAGATTGTTAAAACATGCAAAACATTTTCCTAAAG